ATTCGTAGAGAACTTAACCTTTTCAATTTAATCACTCTGATTTCCACATTCATTTGGAAGTAAAAATAGAACTATTCAGTCCTGGTGATTTTCCAAGATTTGTGAGCTCAGGATTTTTGAAGGTGTGAATTTCTTGAAGTCAGAGGTTATCTACTCATTATTCATTTACCTCCATTTCTTATTCTTCCTGAATCATCCCATGCTATAAAATCAATGTTTATCAGTTGGGTAAAATAATAAATTAATGAATACATGAACTAGGATGTTATGGTATACAGCCTGACCTTGGGAAATTAATTCACCATAATGAAAACTTTTGTTTTGTTTTGTGATAATTGAGTATAATGTAATATAAAGAATATCTCCCAAGTAATAGATTTAATATTAAGATAAAGAAGAAGGAATTATCAGTATAACTATTTGAAAACTTTGAAGAGATAGTTTGTCCTTGTAATAATTTATAGTACACAAGTAACATTAATAAATTCTGATCTAACCCTTCTACTGTCTCTACTAAAATGTATACACATTTTAATGATATCTATTTTGTGCTTTTAAGTATATGTTTCTGAGCATCAAACATATATGATCACAATTCTCTGAGTAATTAAAAACCATTTCTACTCTACTGATAACAAAACATATTCAGAGAGGTGACTTTAGCAAGGTCACAGGATTCAGTAAATGCTTAACTAGTTGGGATCTAGATCTCTTTGTCTTTGATTCAGATTATTTTCCAAAATATAGTGAAAACTGATTGAGTGAAATAGTGATCCCTGAACACGTTCAGTAACCTGCTGTCATCCGGGTAAAGGAACCCTATACGATAATGAGTAACTGTTCTATAGGGTTTTAAGGCTAAAATCTTTATGGTGGCAAACTGCCAAATCTTTCTCCTATGGATCAGGCTAATAGGTTTGAACCTCCAACTTTCTGGTTAGAAGCCAAACTCTTCAAACCATGTGCCACCAGGGCATCTCTAGAACATTTTAAGTAATCATAGAAAAAGATTATAGTCTCTAAAACTTTTATATTTTATGAGTGCTTATCATTTATATCCTACATAAGATTATCATCTAAAATGCACACCTTGGCATCTTCTTCTTTTCTCACTATAAGTGAAATATAATTCTGTCTATTGCCAAGACATTCTCCATAAACATTAACCACACACAAATGTACAAAACAGAGCCACAGGAGTATGGGTACATCATTGCTATCATCAACCCACCTCTTGATCTGTTGCCAAGGAGAGAGGAAGAATGACTTCCAAACACTGAAAAAACCAACCTAATACACAGGGAAATGATTCCCTATCTGCTGCACTGCTATCTTTCACAATGTACTCAGTATCTAGCTTTAATGCTACTAACTTTTAGTGACACCATTCTCATGTCCTTTACTGTTCTTTATATAACTACAGCAAAATGATTTTAACCACCTCTAGCATCTGATACCTTCCTGTTTAAAAAAAGAAAGTAACCCTAGATACAGCTTTCGAAGAAATTTGAGTTTTAAAAATGAAGACAGAGAGGAAAGTGGATAGAATACTGCTTCTGAAAAATTGAATAGTAACACACTTGCCTTTGGACAGCTATGTAGAATTTTAATTCACTAGGATGAGGTTGAAGGACTTCCATTTTTCATGCCTGGCATTCCTCCAGAATTCTGGCCAGTAATGATGGAGAGTGAATAATGGCTTTGCCACTCTCAATGATGGCTTATTCCTCCTAGAAATTTGTCATTCTTAGCTGTGAACTGTGACAGACCTTTAAAACAGATCTGCCACCATGAGCTAGAAGAACTGCTTTCACAGTGGCCCAGGCATCTAGTGAGACCACTTTGTTGTGGTGGCTGTAGTTGTTATTGTTGTTCAGAGCAACAATTTAGCTTTTCTGTGATCCCGGAGACTGACTTCTAATTTCAATCACATCTCTGAAGTCTTAAGTAGCTACTCAATTTCTCCCTTTCTGGAATCTAGTGATGATATACCAACTCCCTGTCTATTTCACTTTGGGGAAAAGAAAAAGATAGTCCAGTGACACACTCTGGAGTCTTGGAGTCTAGATAGAGAACCCTGGGGAGTAGTATTCTTGTTGTTCTTTCTTATTTTCTCTGAGGTGATACAGGATTAAATAAACGTGGAACCCACTGCAGTTGAGTTGATTCCAACTCATAGAGAACTTTCCATTTTAGAGTAGAACTGCTTTTTATGATTTTCTTGGTTATAATCTTTAAGGAAGAGGATCACCAGATCCTTTCTTTCATGGTACCTTTGACTAAGCTCGAACCATCTACCTTAAGTCAACACCCAAGCACAAACTATTTGCACATGGGCAACTCCAGAGAGATAACTGACATTAAACCTTATTCACCTTGTAACTTTATAGCAAGTTTCTGGATACTTGATGATCTTTCAACATCCAAAAGAGACACTTTTCCCTGAATTTTTACTTCCATGTAGAATGATTTTCCTAACATGTGTGTTGACTTCTTCTCAATATGAACTGCTGGAATTGTTAACATGGCACTAATGTTTCTCTTGGGCACCTGGTCCTTCCCTCACTTTGTTTCTTTGGCTTCCCTCTCTGTCCCTCACGCTCCCTTTGTCTTTCTATCCCTTCCTCTCTTTTCCTTTCCTTTAACTCCCCATCCACTTCTCCCTTAGACCAGTAGAGGTCAGGAGAATTTAGGGCATTGATTACACCAGCAGGTGTCATTTAGGACTAAAATCCCATTAAATCAGACCTGAACAAACCAACCCACTGCTATCAAAGCAGCTGGAGAACGTGCTGCCCATCCAGGGAGCACCTGACGCATAAACGAGAACTCAAAACTTAGAAGCTGGTTTTAAATCCACAGAGGTCCCTTTTTTTCCACGCCGCTTTTTACAGCTCTTACTACTGTGTCAGCAGTGCATTTAAAGCTATTCTGATCACTTAATCTTTATGCTCACCAAATAGGGTTTTCATTGGCCAGGTTCCCATAGAGTAATTTCAGACCCCTCTGGGAATAAATGTCTTCATAAAAGTTATTAGAAAAAAAACAGAGGTTTCTATTGGAATTCAGTTGGACTTAAATGTTCCTCCTAAACCTGCCCATAAGTTCCAGAAAGACTTGAAGAAGTTCAATTCTTAGCTATTTGTCTCAGTGTCTTAATCTGTAAAATGGAAATTATAAAATTGGCCCTTTTAAGAGAAAGATTAAGAGGGAAGAGAGTTGGATAGGCATATTTCTTTCAAATTAAAAAAAAAAGGCTTCGGAGAAAAGGGAATGTCCCAGTGAATCACCTTGGACTAAGAGCTCACTGCACTGTCCACCCGCGCGTCCCTCTCGGGCACATCAGCAACTCCAGTTTTTAAAGACAACTCCCACCCAGAGTCCCTGTGCACAGGTGAAACTCCGAAAGCTGGAGATGATGCTTGGTTTCCAAACAGCACACGTGCCTTTTACAGGTTCACAGAAATTGGGATCCTTACCTACATTGGGGGAGGAGTACTACAATTTGAAATCAGAGTAGAAATTTTAAAAGAGCATTGGCTGAATTAAGAGGGTCTCTAGTAAAGTAAATATTATTCAGTTAGCACTTTCAGGGCTGAGTATGAATCTGTATTTCCTTTGCAAGTGACAGTTTTGTTGCACTAAGCTACACCTACACAATTGTATCAGGAAAAAACGCATGAATACGGCGTATTACCTTGACCGAAAGGAGCCTGAGGCCAGGTCTTGAAAGTGTCCATTGATGGGGCGCCGTCACGTTCGTAAAGCCCAAACCACACTTCAGGGTCTTCACCACTTTGCAAGCCGTCAAAATCCTCGTCATTTTGAAGATGCTGATTTGTGACTGAAATTAAATACAATTACATATACTTAAGTGATCTTCGTGATAAGATTTTTAATTAATGTGAAAGAAAACTGGGGGGGGGGGCAGTTGCGTGTTTAAGGCTCACTGCACAGCAGTATTTGAAATTCCATTCATTCTGGCATTAAATGCCTTTAGCCAGAGCTCCTCCTTCTCTTTAACCCCTCCTCCTAAGGTAACATCTGGAGATGTTCCATGGACATGTAATACTAATTGCAACACATCAAATACTACCTTCTCATGCTGACATAATGCTAGTGCTGTAGAAAACCTGTCATCCCCATCAAAGGAATTGCTTATGCAGCTGAATGGAATGACCTATAAACAGTGGACAACCTTAGTAGGTACAAAACCTTAGTAGCTACTAAAAAGTAGCAACTTTCTAATAATGCTAAGGATCAAAAGCCATTCATCTGAATAAACTTATCTCCCCTCAAAGTGAGTAAACCTATCTACATTTGTTCTCTGGGCTAAAAAGTAAGACATTACATTCTTACTATATCATGCATTGCTCTTGATTCCACATTGTAAATGAATCCGTGATACCCAGTAAAATACAACTGCACAAAGTAATCTATGATATTCTGCTTAATCCCTTAAATATGAAAGAAGTACAGGAAAAAATGGCAAACACTCTCTATTGTGAGCACTACTTCTAAGTCACATAGTTTTAGCGATGCACTGTTGCATATCAAATTCTCTACATTTGAGTATCGGAGTGTCATTCTGAGTTGACATTGACTCACATAGCATCGCAGCATTCTCCCTCTATCTGCCTGCAAGGAGGCCTAGAAACAGAGACTTGCTTCTAGGGTCGCTCCTAAGGGGAAGGCAACAGTGAGTGATGTAGAGGCTCTAAACTCCTCTGACCGAGACCAGGGCTGTGTGGGAGTAGGAAGGCGCAGGCTTTTAAAATAAGAACAAAGCTGAAGATGAATCTCCTCCTAGCTTACTTACTGTATTCAAGCATCAATATTTTTCCAAAGCTAAACTACCTCACTGCTGCTGGCAGTGGACAGCTGGACAAAGAATGGTCTCAACCGGGTGGACATACGTGAGTATGGAAATAATAATGGAAGAATGGAAGAGTAAACCAGTGAATGATCAGATAAAGACAAAAGACCTGCCAATATCAACATTATATGGATATATTTTCACTTTCTTCTAAGTTAAAAAGAAATAAAAGAAGAACTTCCACCTGTGCATCTCCAATAAAGTATTGAATTTGGTTGAATCAAATTATATTGAAGGATTATAAGAATTCATCAGATAGATAATGGGATCATGCTACAGCGAAGGGCGGCATGTGTGAAAGCGTGTTGTTGCTAAATTGTGATTGAGTCGACTTATGTTGGCCTTAACAGGGCATCACTTAAAGCACAATGGAACCAAAAATAGCCCAGTCCCACACCATCTTCAGAGTTGTTGGTATGTTTTTTTTTCCATTTTCATGGATATTCTGTCAATCCAACTCGTCCAATTGAGGATTTTCCTCATTTTTCCTTTACCAACATGACTTCCTTCCTTGTAATCATAACAGCATAGAGATATGAAATAATATAGTGTGTGTGTGTGTGTATGTGTGTGTGTGTGTGCACGTGCGCAGAAATAGTCTGATAAAGCCTAGAGTGAAAGACACAGGATGAGGTCAGGAGCCAAAACTATATCATGGACATTACTATGGTGGCAATCACTGAGAGCTTTTGAGCAAAAAATAAAGATGAAAATAGTGTCAAAGAAAATTCATGTAAAATTAGAGTAATCTAAACCTCGGGAGAAGAAAATTCCAGAGAACTTAGAAGACTGAGTAGATAGATAGATAGATAGATAGATAGATAGATAGATAGATAGATAGATAGACAGATAGAATATAAGCATACAGTGAAGGCTGTATTTCCTAATTATAAAAAGACATTTTCATTATGGGAAAAGTTTAAGAAGTAAAATAAATTTAAATCAGGCATAGTCCCATATCAAATATATATCCATACAATGAACATTCTAGGATAATTCTCCCTTTAATTCTTCATGTTTTAGCTCAATCTAACCATTGGGGTACTGAGAAGTTCAATGTTTAACCAAGAAAAGTCATGAGTAAGTGGTTTCATAATCATTTATAGATGGTTCTCAAAGAGATGACAAAGTTACGATGGTTTTCCAGAGATAGGTCAACAACTCTGGGATGTAATTCCCTAACTGTCAAGTCCAAAGAGACCTGTGGAATGGAGTTGGGATGGGCTTCCATTTCTGCCAGGACAACATCTTGAATGCAGGCTCTGGTCCATGGTTCGAGTCAACAGAATGAAATGAAAGAGGTCGATATTTTGACCAATTTTGTTAGGCATTCCGAGTTAGAGATTTAGGAACTCAATTTTCTGTTGCTCTGCAATCATGTTGAAGATTAGAAAAGGCAATAGATAAAATGATGAGTAGTTTCACGATTGATGTTCAAGACAGACAAATCGATAACCAAACTGTTTTATGGGTGTTTTGTTGTCATTGTTGTTATTTAATGTTATATTAGAGAAGGAGTTTGCTTTCAGAGCCATCGAGTGGTAGTGGTGATAGATGGTAGGGAACAGTAAAGCCCGATTGAACGTTTTACAGACAATGCTACCCTTTTATGAGAGACACTTTGTTTTCAAAACACCTTAAAGCAAGTATTTTTCCATTTAGAAGTACTCATTTTCCTAAGGGCTCGTTTATATGGCTCCCTCCCCTCCTGTTTCTCCTTAGAAGCAAGCATGACAAAGTGATGGTCACTTCCTTTAGTCAACTAGAGGCTGAGCAAAGACCAGTGAAGTCCTCGAATGAGATCAACTGAGAAATTAACCACGACAATGAAATCAAACAGATCGATGATCATGAAGAAGGTGCATTCTGTTACACATCCGTTCACCATGAGTCAGAACCAACGTGAGAGTGTCTAAGAATTGTTCCTCACATAAACTATCTGCACATACCTGATTGACAGGCATGCATGTATTCATACATGCACACATGCCTATATGCACACACAGGCTTGGGAGAATCTGTGAATTTGCTAACATATTTTGTAAAAGTTGATCAATACAGTGCTGTTGATACTATAAGTCCCTCACTAAGTGAAAGCAAGGCTTGGTGTGGAATTATTAGTCTTTCTTTGGCACTAAGATACGTTTATTACAGTTACCACTGTTTACAGCATGGGACTAGTTCCTGCGCACAAGTCCAAGTAAAAAATATATCAACCAAAGACGTTCCACTTTGGCAGAGTGAAAAGCAATCTAGCTTTGTTTCATGTTGTGCTGAAAAAACTTTTATTTCCCTCATGAATAATAAATACTACATAGAAAAGTGTGTGTGTGTGTTTGTGTGAGTGTGTAAAGAGGAAAACAGAGAGATAAATATTCTTAAATAACACACTCCTTAAACATTTTTTTAAGAATAGACAAATCAGCCATCAGCCATCTAAATCTCTCAGATCACTTCATATGATAAATTTGGCTTTAGGATATCTCATACTGAAAATGATAAGATATCAAGTACTAAGTGGGATTTCTTTTCATTGATAATGAAATTTGGAAAGCATCAAAAAATGGATTTAAAAACATAATCACCACCAACTTGTTCTGTAAATATAACCTCGGGTACTAATTTTGTGAAGTTTTTAGCATTTATTTCTATTTTGAAGCCATAGTTTTGAAAACTGTTCATAGTATGCTTTTGTGGGGAATACTATATTAAAATCTATTAGATATGCTTATGTATCATTTTAAAGACTAATTAAAATATCATAATATATTTATGTTCATTATTATAATAATTGCTTCCATAATCCTATTGTCAATATTGCCAATTTTGATCAATACTGCCAAATTTCTTTTTGAAGAGAGTGACCTATATTAATTTTCCTTTCAATCGCAGCAACATCAGATGTAATCATGCATTTGTTTCTTTATTTGAAATGCAATTTGAGCAGAAATTAGCCCTATGTCTTCATTTGAATTTTAAATTATTAATGAGGTTGTTCCCTATGTTCTTAATTAGTTCTAGTTCTTCTTTTATCCCACACTGTTTACAGCCTTTTATTCCCACTGATCATTCATATGAATGATTATTAAAAACTCTAAAAAGGAAATGGAAAAGTTGATTGGCATCTTGTATGGGTACTAATTCAAGTATCTTCTTCGTTTGGAAGGCCTAGTGGGGTAAGTAAGAAAAGGCCTTCCTGCTATATATTGGGGATAAAAATAAGAAGACCAGCTCATTCTGAAAGATAAAGGTACAGAAACTTCCAGCTGTCCTCTAAAACTGTGTCATCCTAGGTAATGAATCAGGAACAACTCTAAGAAAGTAATGAATCTATCAAAATGTCTTTTATATAAAGATGTGTAAGAGATGCTTCTGGAAAACTGAGTGATTAATAAATGAATTTCTATGTGACAGAATTCCTGATTAGTATTATTTTAGCAGAACAACTGAAATTACATTAGACAAATATTGGGGAATATAAAGATGCTTAGGAGAGGAGTCATCAAGCATCAGTTAGAAAGTTTATGAAGGTACTTTAAAGAAATAATGTTAACGCAAGGAGCAAGTTATGTTTAGAGAAGAAGAAAAAAGAAATTCACAAGAAAAAAGCAATGAGCTCTCTCGGAAAGAAAGTTCTACCATTTTGTGCTTCTACAGTGCTGTATATAAAAACAGACTATAAAAGATAAGAGTGTTTATTGTGATTATAATATTCTAAGTACTATCAAAGGAACACAATAGGAAAGTGGGGCTATAGACAAAGAATGCTCCTCATGTCAAAAGTGACAGATAGAATGCGCATGCTTCTATCACAGAACCCATGAGAAGCAGGAAAAGGATTGTTCGAACAAAATTTTAAAATTGGCCAGTGTAAAAAAAAGTTATTCGACAACCTTACAGACACATCAAAGATCAATAATGAACATAGATAGGGATGAGGATGTTGGATGATTGGGTTTTTAAGTAACCAGATGTCTTTAGAAATCCGCTCAAAGTAAAACACAGTCACCCACATCCAGCTGGCATTGAGGGTTAGACAGCGAGGAGCCAGTGATGATGG